AAGAGATGTCGTATGCGCTGATTCTTCTGCCGACTTTTCAGTTAATACTGATTAATCGCATTTCCAGAAAAAGATGACGCTTATTCGCGATCTGCTCAGAAGTCGCCCACTTATCGCGGTTAAACGGCGACTTTTTCGAAAAACGCGATAATCGCCGATTTTTAAACGACATTGAAGACGTGGGTGGTTACAGTTAAGTTATATTCATTCTGTTAGTTTCTCACTATCAGCTAATACTACTACATTATTAATAGAATCGTAACTTCTTTTAGAATAAACGCGTTAGTGTTCATTTCAGTTTAGAAAATATGTGCTTTGCTATTAGTTTTGCTCAGTGCTCAGTATGTCAAAAAGCTATTCCGATTTAATTTAGTCTAAATTATCGAGAAAAAAAATCGAATTATGTTCAGTCGTTGTTTTCTCTATCTTAGTTATTCGTACACAATTATTTTGAACAACTGTAAAATCATCCCAAATGTATCCCGTTTTTTTAACCCCTTGCATTTAGTTCAAATTGTCTTTTCATCGTCGATAAGTTATATAGTCTTTTGATAAATCTTTCAGCTCGCCTAGCGAATCAATAATCAACCCACTATAGGCTTGGGTATTTGAACAAAAATTTATAGACAGTTTTTCTGTACTACGAGAGACAGCACCCAAGGCATACGTAGTGTGCATTTCTGCCATGTACTGTTATATTTGTGCATGTGGACACCAATGTTGATCCAGTTTGTATATTGTAGATTCTGTTTCTCAACATGACAAGATTTTTTTTTTAGTTTTTACCAAATAAAGATTAGATGTTCAAAGATATAGAGTAAATGGAAATCTAATGCTATTTCTCTCTAACTAATTATTTTAAACTTTCTGGTATGTTAACTTTGATTACCTGAATTAAAAGATCCCCCACCTTGTTAATTTATTTCCCCTTTCGGCTAATAATTGCAAAATTTCAACGTACTATGATCAGAAAAGGAAAAATTAAATTACAGTAGGTTCCTTGAAAAATTCACAAAACAGCCGATTTTTAGGTATGAATACAGAGCTGCACAATCCACCTGTTTGCTCCGACGGTGTTCGGAAAACTGATTGGTTCGGGGAAATTTTTGGACCTGGAAATTTCCAGTTATATTTTTAAAATAACACAGTTTCTACACACAATGGCCTCGCTTGGAGACGATTCAAAACCTTTGTGCTTATGAACAGTAGATTATCGAGAAAAACTAAGATATTATTGTACCTTCAAGAAATTTTTGAGAGATGATTCTTAATGATGAAAAAAAGTTATTTTCCATAATAAGTTCCAACAAAAATAACGAGTCCACTGGTTTTTTCTAGAATTAAATATAAAAATGGTCGATTATAATTGAACACTATTTGTTCGGAACGAGGTGGATCAATAAAACCTGGACCAATAATAATTGCCGTTACAGCTGCTGCCGTCACACCATTTTCATCGACATCGATAATTGCTTGATGGATTACGTCAGTAACATAAAGAGGAGACGGTTGACTTGGACTGATACCTTTCAGATTAGCTTCCGTCTTATCAAAAACATCAGTTACATTAGCAGTTTGAAGTGGTTTCTTCAGATCAAATGCCGATTGAGTTTTTGAATTTTGGTAATGATAACTGGATAAATACTTGTTTAACAGAGTTTAAAAGTCTTTTTAATGTGTTTGAACTGAGTTTTTCCTGAACAGTTGCCAATGTGACACCTTCATTTGGTAGAATAATAGTGAATACAAGCTGAAGATTTTTATTGTTTCTCGTAGTACTGAATGGAATTTCAACAATTTGTGCCTGAATACTGTCGGTTGCATTTATATAGGAAAACTCACTGACAATCTGCGTCATTTGAACATTAACAGTATTTGTCTTGGCTTTTTGAAATGACTTTGTTGTTGTTGTTAAATCTTTGCTGAATGGTATAAACCATTGAGCTTTAAAATAAAGGCAATTGATAAGAATTAGACGAGTGAGCGAATTTACATCCTAGGGTGAAATAATGTTTTTGATCAAATTTTTTGTTTTTTCTGACACCCATTTATTAATGGTATTGGCAGCAGCATTTTGTATGGAAAAGTCTATTCGAACAATCTCGGCGCTGTAGAATGTATTTAGATTATGTGTATAGCTCGGGTTTATTTTGAACATATAGATGATCGGCTACAACCATTTGTGACTCTGAGAGTTTTCCAATCACATTACTAATGATCTCTTTAGATTCCGTGTTCAAGTCAGCAAACGAAAAGATGCTGGCTCGTCTATTGCATTGGAAAACAAGAGGACAAAATGAACATTACTGTCCATGCTTTTTGACATTACCAATGCTTTTTTCGTTTATATATTTTTTATTTGATAATCAGTGTTTTGCCTGATTTAAAATAAATTGTGTTAGAATAAGAACGTTGTTATTACAGTTAATAATTGTAGGGATTTTACGAATCTCGCGTTAGTTGCAAGAGGGCTTATGTAAATTATCAATTGACTCGGGTTGACTCATGTTCTAGGTATTGGTTGTGCATAATTATGACTAATATTAAAATACAAGTTACTGCCGATGAATATCAGTTGTTGTGTTTATTCCGTGAGCATTCTGTGGAAGAGTACGCTGTATTGGATTACTGTTGGAACAAGGTGAATGAGGTATGCGTGACGAAATTGGAGGATGTTGCGGCAGTGTTAAGTGAAAAGTTTAATAAATTGTTTAGAGAGTTCGATATTAAGTTTATGTTGTCGAAATTGAAAGGTGGACAGTTAATGAAATTCGTGGACCTGGTGGATATTGACAAAAGATTGGATAGTTATTTGAGAAGATCGATTGGGTCATCAACATTAAATGCTATTGTACCGTTTGTGGAAAAATGTATTAAGTGTGGTGCAGTATTAAAAATAGATGGTATTGGGATGGATGTCACAGTTTATAAGTTTGCTGCGGTGGAACCGGGAAAGGTTTATCATTCGGTTTGCCTTGTATGTAAGATCGATTATTATCCAGATACATTTATTACCAATAAAAAGAAGTTGGTTAATATTCGAAGTATTCACAGGAAAGATTACGTGTATTTTGGGGGGAAATCAGTGTTTTCGGTAGAGTTGTTCATGGGCGTCACATTAGCGTTTGTTCATCATTTAAGTTTGATTTGAATATAATCTTGGAAATAAGTCTGTTTTTGTTTTCAGTGATAATTCTTCACTGCGAATAATACAGTCAAATTAATTAGCAATTTAGAAAATGCCTTTCAGTTATTGAAGGTTTATAGTTGAATATTTATCTGAACAGTTAATGTTCGTGAGGTTTAGATTAATAATAACGTTTAGCTAATTTAGCTAAATTGGGGTAAGTTTGTTCGTTTTGTTTCCAGAATGACAGTGGATTTAAATATTTTTCGTCTTGTTTAAGTTTTAAATCAGTGTATTGTTGAAGTTCATCTTTCTGTTGTTCTTTTGATCTATCTTCACCATCTGTATCCATTAATTCTTCTAAAAACACTTTTTGTTTTTTTTCTGGTGGTTCCGAAACTTCTTTTCTTGCACCAGTAATGGAGAAGTGCTTCTAACGTGGAAGGTAGAATGGATAACCAAGCACAAATGTTTATCACGATCGCTAACAGCTAGCGTTGTCCCTCTACAATTTTGTCAACAAGAAAGACAGTACATTTTGCCGAAGTGAGTTTTCCTTTCCGCGCTCGACTCGACTCATATTAAATCCGACTCGACTGCGTTCTTTTAAAAAATGACTCGACTCGTTTCGGCCTCTGATAAATATTGCGTGTCGTATTACCCATTTGACGACAATGTTGTCATCGATCAAATAACATCAGTAAAAACGTATTACGAGAATTTGTAGATTCATTATTATCCAAAGCTAATATTTCAAAAAGAAAATTTCTTGAATTTGATTTACCTTGAAGTTTTGTATGAAGTCATTTTTTGTAAACAATATCATCTGTAGATGATTGATTGATAAATGTTTGGAATTCAGACATCTGCAAGAAAAATGAAAAATTTATATTTTATTTTAGTTATCTCTTGACTGATCACTTGGATATATTCATTATATTGATTATTAATCGTTACTGTTTGAGTTATTAATTCTGAACGTGATGGAGAATTGTCATCGATTAAAAAATATCTATCGATATCATTTTAAAATTCTTGACATCTATTATACAAACAATCAGTTCAAACAAGGAAAAATAAATCCATTTTATTTGTCGATTGTAAAATTATTTTCACGTTCATTTAATCGATTTGTAAGAGTAATTAATAATCATCATTGAATATACTCAATAGGGAAATATTGACAAAAATCAACAAGAGTTTTCAAAACATTGTTAACTGTAGGTTGTCGAGCTGTTCGATAGATTTTTCGAGCATTTCGTAATTGATCATCTAATTGTTCACTCTAGAAGAAAGAATTTTTATTTTATTAAAATATATAACGGGTGTAACAGAAATAAACGCACTTTTTTATTTTCGGTATATCTTCGTCGGATAATATGCGATCGACTTAAATTTTTTTTTATAAGATTTGCCATGAAATCGTTTACAAAAATATCTCTTAACAAGTTTTTTAAAATGACAACTGTTAGAGTTATAAAACAAAAAGCGAGGGTGACTAAAAACGCCAACTTCATAAATCATACTTTTTATACTTTCT